CAGATTGTTGGGGGCAATATGTTGACTCTCTGTAAACCGCTTAGAGAGGGCTGAAAGCCCTATGAAGCGGTATATAAGTCTACTGCTATTGCTATATATAACATATGTAAAATATAAGACACAAGGGTGCTTTCTTTAGAAAGTATGCATCGTCTATTTTATTTATTGTCAAAATATATATTTCCATTATTTTTAAAATATTAATATTATTTTGCCCTTTTATTCAGACTACCCGTGTTGTTTCTACACTGTATCTGTATATTTTAGGTAATTGTTTCTATACATGTATATTTCTAACTAATTCCACTTATTCTAAGCAAATCATTTCAACTGTTTTCCAGTCTTCTGATGTAGAAGTAGTACCTGGAAGCATATTGAGACTTTTGGTTCAATAAAGAACACACTTTTTTTCTCATACCATTTTCCCCTTACTTTCCAGCAGTTGATTGGTCTATTTGCTCTTGTTGATCAAATATTGCTTTAAATCTTCATATTACTTTGGATACAGCTAAATGTATTGGTTTTATGTATAAGTATGTCTTATTTTTATTTATTGCAACTAAACAAATCCAGCTCATACAAGAGAAGTGAAAATTTGTTTCACAAATCAAATCAGACTGTATATTCAAACTCTTACAATTTTTATGTATGTTTACTATTTGAAAAAAAATAGAAACTACTTCACATATCCTTTCTGATTACAAAGATCTGCAGGGAAAATATGTGGAGGAAAAATACTTGCAGAATACAGTTTGCAATGAAATATATTGCAAATGTATGTGTATATAATATTTTTCCAAGTACAACTAAGAAGCAAGCTCATCGATTACTTAAAGTAATCTCACTGAATTAAATGGAACTGTAATATTCTAAAATAATAGTTTATAAGAGCTAAAAGTATTCCATCTTTGTGAATGCAATGATGATTACACTATAAAGGTTTGCACCCTGAACTCACTGCTACCTTGAAATAATAAACCTTCTGGGTTAATGGTGATCTCTGACTTCAATCTATAGAATGTCACCTGTGAAACAAGTCATTATCCCCACGTCTTTGAAAATAACGAGTAAAAAGGACATAAATAGCAACTCTACACGCCTGAGACTCAGGTCTGCATCCGACGCTTCTATTCCTGGGAACTTTGAAAGCCGCGCAGTCCTAGGCAAACCCACAACATGAAACTTTACAATCTAACAACTGAGAAGAGATCGGAGCAATAATAATAATAAAATAAATTGGAATCTAACTTCCCCTTAAGACTCTCCAGTGCGCAACCACTGAAAAGTGCATGCCCGCTTTTCACCATAGCTTTAAAATACACGCAAGAAACCCACTGAAAACAACGTCGTCGTCCCCCCGGCATCACTGCACCCCGAGACGACGAAACCTCCCCCTCCAGCACGTCACTCCTAATAGGACGCCTTCCCTCAGCTCAGGCGCTCCCCAGAAGAGCAGGAGAGGCACGCATATTCCACGCCTTTGTCTCTCTGCATTTTGCCACTTTTCCCCCCTTTCTTTCCAATGGACTATTTTTAGGCGCCGCGACATTCCTGAAGGCCTGGCGTTCGAAGGGGACGGGGGCGGGGAGAGAGAAAGAGCCCGAAACTGTCACCGGGAACCGACGTCCACTTCTCAACAGCCCAGAACTGGGGCAAAGGCGGCAGGTGGCAACGAGACAGGTGCCTTCCAGCCAGCCTGACCTGACCAGGCTGTCCCGAGGCCCCAGCTCTCCCTACGAGCCGCGCATGCAGAGGCAGCCATCCCGCCCTCGCTTACTCATCAGCCGCTCCTCTCACCTAGACGCAGCAAGAAGGCGGCGGCGGCGGCAGCAGCAGCCGTGACTGAAGCGAGGCGAACGCGAGCAGGCGGGGGCCGTCAGCCAAGCCGGGGATACTTCTATTCCGCAGCGATGCCTCTCCGCCTCCGTGCATCTTTCCTCCCCGTCTCCCTGCGACTTGGGCAGCGGCGCCGCAGTCGAATCGAACCGAGCGATCCCCCCACACACACCTCCCACCTTCCGCCACAGCCGAGGGAAGAAGGAGGGCGAGAAAAAGGAGGGGGAGGACGAACGCGCGTCCTCCTTTTCCGCGTTCCCGCCGCTCGCACTGAGCCAGAAGTCCTTCCGCGCCGCCCGATTCCCCGTTTCGTCCCGCCAAGGGCCTCGGCCATTCATCACTCACCGGGCTTTCCCGTGCGGAACGGAGGAGTCTCGGAGCACGCCGCGCCGGTTGCGGGAGGGCACGTTGCCGAACTACCGCTGCGCAGCGCCGCGCCTCCCTCCTCTCGCATCCCCTGTTACTATGGATATTCCCCCAGTCTCTCCTCCGCTCCCGCCTGCACTGGGAGAGGGAAGGAGCTGCTCGAGGGGCGCCCACATGCCGCCGCTTCAATGACCCTCCTGCTGCGGCGACTGCCGCTTCTCTGCCCGACCTCAGCCCCCGCAAGGCTGCTCGGTTGCTGTCCCGCCAACACCGGCTGCTTCCCCCGCGCCTGAGCCGGCAGAAAGGAGGCTGGGAGCTGCTGGCGCTCCCGCTTCCTCAAAAACGCGGGAGCGCGCAGAACGCCCCTAGGTCGGGACACAAAGGGGGACCTCGGAGCTTCCGACCGGTGGGAGAGGATGGGTCTTTAGCCGAGATCCCCCCCCCTCCTCCCCCCGACAGTTTTGGCCGTTGCGGTTGCTGAGCCCCCTAATCCTGTTGCTCATCCCCACTGAGAATCGTCCGGGAAACCTGGCATCGCTCGGCAGTAACCGGCGGGTTTAAAAACCAGCAGCTGAGTTCTGCAGTAGAGTAGCCGGTTCGAGTTATGGCGCGTGGCCGTGTCCCGAATCCCTATTCTAGGATGGTGTGTTTGCTACTTCAGGGCGTCCTATTTCAGAGAACCTTTCCTGCAGTAACAATGCAATCTTTTTTCTCTCTCTCTCCTGATTGCAGGAAGCAAATAGCCAACTGATGCACCGCGGAAAAATGGTGCCCATTTCTTGATATACCAAGGAAACAGGAACAAAAAAAATGACATAAGAAGAGTCCTGCCCCCTGGAAATTGCGTTAGACCGTTTTTCAATACATACACTTTCATAGCGCAGCCAGCACACACTCAAAGCGAGGGTGGGGAATAGAGGAATGTTTCTTCCTCTCCAGAACTGCAGGATGAGAGTTTAAGGGGTAGGGAGCAAATTTTCTGCTATTTAAAGAGATTCTTGGTAATCCCACCCAATCCAGAGCCCAACTATCCTTAGCCACGGAAAAAAACCTGGAGGAGGAGGAAGTAAAGGAGGAAATAATGCTCTGAGGTCTTTGCTACCTGTCCCCAGCTGTTTTCTCTCAGCAGACTAATGTATAGCAGCTAAGAGAAGGCCAGAGATCAGGTGGAGACCCTAGGTTGGTTGCCTGGTTGGCTGGTTGGTTGGTTATTTACAGGACTTATCACTGCCTATTCCACCCAGTGATAGGAGCCTCACAGCAATCAATATTAATGCAAACAAATCAACCCTTTTCACTATACCATGGACAGTCTGATTTAGCTCAGCCCCATCCTAGCCCAGTGCTTGTAGGAAGACCTATTCTTCATAAACTTCCAGAAGGATAAAAGGGTGCATTTTTTCACTTTTTCTTTTAAGTTGTTATGCACTTGCTTGATTCACTTTATTAAGAAAGTCTTATTGTGCTTGATGTCTATAAAAATATGGCTTCGATAATGCAAATGCACACACACTGGCATGTCTCAGAAGAGAATCCAGTGGTGATGGTGGAATATAAGTATGCAAAGAAAAAATATATCTTTGCTCCAAAAGCACCAAGATATTTTTCGTTATCTAAAAAGATTAAATCACGACAACTAGAGCAAAGTTTATTAAGCTGAAATGTTCTGTTAGTCCTCCAAGTAACTTTAGTCAAAATGAAAATTGTTTGGATAGGCATAGAATCAGAGAGTCATTGGAATGTACTAACTCTGCCCTACTGACCACAGGCTGTTTTCCCCCAAAATGATATGCACTTTGTAAAATAAAAACTTGATTTGCAAGCCAAAAGTTTCTAAAAAGGTTAAATCATGGAAACTATGATCTACGCCTAACTCAAAAAAAAATTGCAGTCGGTATGGCAGAGTTAATACATTCCAATAATGCTCAGACTCTATGCCTAACCCAAAAAATTTCATTTTGACTGAAGATACTTGGATGAGTAACGAAACATCATCTTAATAAAAGTTTAAATCAGCCATGATTTAAACTTTTTATATACTTTGGTCCGGAATGATTATGTCTTCATTTAATATTTTTCTTTAGTTCAATATAAATCTTTGTACATGTAATATTACACAATTAAACAGCTTCAATTAAGAATCCCATAGAGCTACAGGTAACACAGGTCTGCGACTAAAAAGCTGTTTGAGTATTTTCATCTAATTTCCATGTATTTTGGCGTGCTGAAAACAAATAAAATATTGAAAAAACTCCTAGACCTCATGATTTGCCACAACAGGGAAAATTGTCTTCAAATTTATCATTTTTTAAAATTGTTGGTATTTTTTATATTATG